TGACACATCTGTAGTCCTAGCTACTCAAGAGACTGGGTGGGAAAATAGCTTGAGCTCCAGAATTCTAGGCTGCAGTGAGCTATGATTGTACCACTGCACTCCAGCCTGGGCCTGTGGTCCCCAAGCCACTAGCCGCAGATAGTACAGTACCGGTTCATAGCCTGTTAAGAACCAGGCGGCACAGGAGGTGAACTGCAGGTAAGCAATGGAAACGTCATCTGTATTTGTAGCCCCTCCCCATCGCTCACATCACACCATGAGCTCTGCCTCCTGTCAGATCAGCGGTGGCGTTAGATTCTCACAGGAGCGTGAGCCCTACTGTAAGCTGCCCACTTGAGGGATCTAGGTTGCACGTTCCTTATGAGAATCTAATGCCTAATGATCTATCTGAGGTGGAGCTGAGGCAGTGGTGCTAGTGCTAGGGAGAGGCTGCAAATACAGATTTTATCATTAGCAGAGAGGTCTGACTGCACAATAAATGTAATGTGCTTGAATCATCCTGAAACCATCTCCCCACTAGTCTGTGGAAAAACTGTCTTCCATGAAACTGGTCCCTGGGGCCAAAAGGTTGGGGACTGCTATCCTGGGTGATAGAGGTAGACAAGACAAGACAAGAGAGAAAAAAAAATATATTAAAAGCACAAAGAGAAATGATATCTTACCTATAAGTGGAAAATAATTCAAATTACAGTGAATTTTTTCATCAGAAAATAAGGAATGGCACAATATTTTTCAAATGCTGAAAGAAAAGAATGGGCAACCCAGATTTTTATATCTAGCAAAAATATCCTTCATTAGTTAAGGAAAAATTAAGATATTCTTAGATAAAGAAAAACTAAAAGAATGCATTGCCAGCTGATAACTGAAGAAAAATGGCTCACAGGAATTCTCTAAACAGAAAGGAAACAATAAAAGAAGGAATCTTGGAATATCAGGAAGGGAGAAAGAACAATGGAAAGGGTAAAAATATAGATAAATACAATAGACTTTCCCTCTCGAGTTTTCTAAATTATGTTTGAAGCAAAACTTACAACACTGCCTAAAGTGGTTCTCAAAGTATATAGACAAGTATATTGGAAATGGGAGAGGGTAATGTGGATACCAGGAGACTGTGATAAGGTAACACTTTAGAGCAACCACTAAAAAAACTATGCAAGGACACATACCCAAAAACACTTTGGACAAATCAAAACTGTATTCTAACAAATATACTCAAGTATATTTACTTGAGTATATACTCAAGTAAAAATATACTCACTTGAAGGCAGGAAAAAGAAAACATAGAAACAAAAAACAGAGTAATCCTAGCATTCTGGGAGGTTGAAGCAGGTGGATCGCTCAAGATCAGGAGTTCGAAACCAGCCTGAGCAAGGGCGAGACCCCGTCTCTATTAAAAATAGAAAGAAATTAATTGGCCAACTAAAAATACATAGAAAAAATTAGCCAGGCATGGTGGCGCATGCCTGTAGTCCCAGCGACTCAGGAGACTGAGGCAGAAGGATTGCTTGAGCCCAGGAGTTGGAGGTCGGTGTGAGCTAGGCTGATGCCACGGCACTCTAGCCGGGGCAACAGAGTGAGACTCTGCCTCAAAAAACAAACAACCAAACAGAAAACAAGAACTATAATGGCTGACCTTATAAGCCCTAATATATCTATTATCACATATAATTAGGAAACAGTCTAAAGATACCAATTAAAAGACAGAGATTGGCAGAGAAAAAATCATATGCATATATAGTCTACAAGAAACTCACTTCAAATATAATGATAAAGGTAAGCTGAAAGCAAAGAATAAAAAATATATCACACAAATATTAATCAAAAGAAAGCAGGGGCTGAGTGTGGTGGCTCATAGCTGCAATACCAATACTTCGGGAGGCCAAGGTGGGAGGATCACTTGAGGCCAGGAGTTTGAGGCCAACCTAGGCAATATAGCAAGATGCTGTCTCTACATAAAAATTTTAAAAAATTAGCCAGGTGTGGTGGTGTGTACCTGTAGTCCCAACTACTGGGAAGGCCAAGGTGAGAGGATTGCTTGAGCCCAGGAGTTCAAAGTTGCAGCCAGCTGCAATTGAGCCACTGTACTCCAGCCTGGGCAACACAGCAAAACCCCATTTCTTAAGAATAAATAAATAAATAAAGCAAGCAAGCAGGCATGGCTACATTAATGTCAGATAAAGTAGACTCTGGGGCAAAGAAAATTATTAGGGACAAAAAGGGAACATTACATAATGATAAAAAGGACAATCCACCAAAAAGACAGCATCATTAATGTATATATACAATAGAACTGTAAAGTATTTGAAGCAAGAACTTATAGAACTAAAGGGAGATGTAGACAATTCCACAAATACAGCTCGAGATTTCAACACCACTCTTTCAACAATCAACAGAATAACCTGACAGAAAGTCAGCAAGGATATGTAAGAACTCAGCACCATCAAGCATCAGAATTTTATCGACATTTATAGACCACTCCATCCAACAGCAGAATACACATTCATTTCAAGTACCTACAAAGCATATACCAAGTTAGACTACCACATCCTGGACCATAAACAAACCTCAACACATTTAAAAGATCATAATGAGATACCACTGCATACCTATTAGAATGGCTAAAACAAAAAATAAGAGATCATATTAAATACTGGTGAGGATGCAAAGAAACTAAATCTCTCATAGATTCGCGATAGGAATGTAAAATGATACAACCACTCTGGCAAACAGTCTGTTTGTTTCTTAAAAAACTAAAACATACCATAAAACCCAATAATCGCATTCCTGGGCAATTTATCCTAGAGAAATGAAACTCACGTTCCCACAAAAACCTGCATACAATTGCTCACAGCAGCAGCTTTATTTGTAATAGCACCAAATTGGAAACAAGACGTTCCTCAATAGGTGAATGGTTACACAGTGGTAGAACAATATCATGGAATACTACTCAGCAATAAAAGGAATGAACTATTGACACACACAACTTGGATGGATATTAAGAGAATTACATTGAGCGAAAACAAGACAATCTCAAAAAGGTCATGTACTATAAAATTCTATTTATATTAATATATAATATACCATTCGATGTAGAAGAGGTTAGTGGTTGCTAGGGGTTAGGAATGGTGGGGAAGAAGAGGGTAGGTGTGACAATAAAGCAGTAGCATAAGGGAGATCTTTGTGCTGATGGGACAGTTCTGTGTCTCGATTATGTTAGGGATAAAATGATATAGAACTATGCACGTAGATCCTACCAGTGTCATTTTACTGGTTTTGATTTTGAACTATTAGTTATATGAGATGTAAGCATTGGGGGAAACTAGTGAAGGGGACATGGACCTCCCTATACTATCATTGCAAGTTAAAAACATACATATATCTAGCCGGGCATGGTGGCTCATGCCTGTAATCCTAGCTCTCTGGGAGGCCAAGGTGGGAGGATCGCTCAAGGTCAGGAGTTCAAAACCAGACCGAGCAAGAGTGAGACTCCATCTCTACTAAAAATACAAAGAAATTAATTAGCCAACTAAAAATATATATATATATGTAAAAAAAATTAGCTGGGCATGGTGGCACATGCTTTTAGTCCCAGCTATTCGGGAGGCTGACGCAGAAGGATCATCTGATCCCAGGAGCTTGAGGTTGCTGTGAGGCAGGCTGACGCCACGGCACTCTAGCCTGGGCAACAGAGACTGTCTCAAACACACGCACACACGCACACACACACACATCTAAATGGCCCAAGTCTGTGTGGTTTTTAATCCCTCTTCTTCCTGTTAGAAAGGTAATAATATGAACCACATGACTTCATCCTCTGGACACTATTACTGGACCAAGAGGGAAGGGATAAGAAGAACCGACCTATGTGTGGGACTGAGCCAATTAGGCTGTCTTTAGAATCTGAACTGAAAGACAGAGACTGGCCTTCCATGAAGGGCTCCACAGCTGAAAAGTCCTGTGGTGATGGGATCAAAACTGGTCCCCAGCAAGTCCAAGACAGCTGAAGTCACGAGGCAAGCACCAAAAAGCGTGATGCCCCTTGTCTATAAGAATGCCCATTGAGAGACTATTCCCCTTTAGAGTTACTTTGGTGAATGGATGGGTTTCTGCTACTTGCAAGCATCAATCTTGACTAAAACATATGCTTGAAATGAAGATATAGTAAGAAAGACTTATCCGCATTATCATTACTATGGCCCTGTCCCTATACTCCTGAAATTTAAGACAGCTGTCATTTAAGCAATCTAATCCTCATCTTACTTCATTTGGCTCACCCGAGTCAGTGAGACCAGAGGTGAGAGGGAGGGAAAGAGTGCAAGAGGTCTCTACTAAGGGACAGTAACGAAATGTGCTTAGGTGTACCAGACACTCAAAGCAGTCTACCAGAAGTATGGCTCCACCCAGAGGGTTCCAATGCCCAGAATTTACGGGTTGGAAGGAAGGTCTTCTTAGAGACAAGTTCACAGATCTGGAGGTTGGACTTCATTCATTCATCTCTAAGTCTTTATTAATTTATTAGGGGGTGGTGGTGGAGGTATTGGATGTGCAAAAGGATACTGATCTCTCAGTATCAAGGGTAAGGGACGCCACCTCCTGACTCAGGCCCAGCCAAGAGCCCCACCTTAGCAGCATCATTCACTCTTGGCCTGGTGGGAAGTAAACTGAAAGGGGTCATATGTAGGCCAAGCCACCCTCTCCTCACCTCCTGGGCTAATCTCCACTTACGGTCTCTCATCTCAGAACCCCAGAACAGTGCAGAGTAGAACAGACTCTGATATCAGGCTGCCTGGGTTCCAGTCCTGCTTCTGCCTCTTCCAGCTGTGTGACTTCTCTGTGCCTCAGTTTCCTCACCTGTAAAAAGGGAATTACAGTACCCACCTCATACTACCTGGCATCAGTGAGATGATCACTAGCATATCTCAGGTATATTTTCTGTGCCCACTTCATTGCCCCAGAATACACATGAGAAGTCAACTGAAAACAAGGTAAGCAATCCAAAGGTGGTTTTTTGGCTTTTTTTAATTGTTTTTGCTAACGGTAAGAACAGAACTGCCGTAAGGGCTCAGCTCTATAACCCCATCCATCCCAAGATTGTTCTAGCGCTGGGACCAAGAGCAGAAAGATCTTCCTCAGTAACCTCTTCTCAAAGCCCAGGGATATCTTCCATAAGGCATCAACATGCATCTGTCATCCAAGAATGTATGGCCTTCTTGATACTTCTACATTTTCACCAATAAAATCACCTTCTGAGGTTATAGATTCCAGTTCTGCTATGAGATAGGTAAAGCTTCCTTTTTCATTTCAAGAAGTGTGGTTTGAGAAGGGAATTGGGGAACATGACTTGATAAACTTCAACCACTTCCCCTGTTCGCCTGTCCCTCAAGGTGCAGAACCACCAATGTTCTCGCAGCTCCCTTCTCCACAGTTCTGGAGTTCTTCAAGGTGTATAGCCCAAGCCTTAGGAAGTCATTCACAGGAGGTGCACTAGGATTTACCACAAAGCCTGGTCAATTTCTTAGTTTCTTTTTGGCCCCAGCATACACCTGACCAGCATCTTTCAGGAGCAGCCCCTCCAGTGTTGTCTAGGCTGCTTTCCTAAGTCAGGAATGGGTTGTTTAGGACCTTCTGTCTGTCCTAAATGATTCCTAAAAGCTCCACATAGCTTCATACAGCCTTACTGTCCTCTGATCTTTTGGTGTGTTATGATCCTATCTGTAAAGCTATCAAACTCTTAAATCCTGGATGCCTCTTTCAAATTTCATACCTTCCTCAAATTTATGAAATACCTCCTGAATTTCAGAAAGTTACTTACCAGCTAATGCAAAAATGTAGCCTAATTCTGTGTGAATTACTGCTGAGACCAGCTCTTCAGGTCAGGGAGGGAAGGTTTGGTATAGGATCTCCCTCTACTCCTACCACACAGCCTCCTCCTGACCGACTGCAACTGAAATTCCTGCACACTGTGCGCTTCCTCCTGGCTACCTCTGACTGGACTGAACACAAGGGGTCTGGTGTAGATACACACAGCAACATGGGTCAGGACCATGGACCACAATTTGAGCCATGTTGTGGGCCCTCCCTGCCTATAGAAAAGGACACTAAGCAGATCACACTTGGGTTGCCCTGTGTATCACCTTGACTGGAAACATTATAGAAGGGAAGGAAGCCTGCTCTGGAGGATAAGTTCCAAGATAAATCTAAAACTACCTTTGCACCAAGTGTTGTGAAGAGGTAATGAGAAAGCTCAGAGCTCCATCTTTGGTGACCACTTCTCCAGAGATTACCACCTACAGGGCTCAGGCTAGTAGCAATAGCCCTGGCATAGTACAGTCACTGCCAATAATCTTCCCACCTCTAAGTCAAAAGACAAAAATTCTCAGAAACAAAAACAGTGAACCAAGAACTTTGTCATTCTGATGCCCTAAGTTTCCTGTGAAGACCAAGACACTATGTAGCTTGTTTTCCCAACTTCACCTCCAGATACTGGAGACAGGACTTTCAGGTGTTGAGCTTTCTTCCCTCTGACTTGGCAAATTCTTCTCATCTCCAGCAGAATCACCAGTTCCTGAGGTGCCAGATGCAGAGACCCAAACCCAAACTGTTTTCACCACAGGGCTTACTGGCACATCCTTTAAACCACTTCTGTTGCTGTTCCATGCCTCTTCTTCAGCCTACCTGGACCTGAAAACTCTCTGGATGTAGGAATTGCCCAAAGCATGCTAAAACAAAGAAAGGGACCAGCTTTCACCTCCTGGCAACCATGGCTTCCCACATCTACAGTAAGCCGAAGGGGCTGAAAGATGACAGCCCGTTCTCTTTGCCTTCATCATAAAACACAAAAATCGCTAAGTTCCCAAGTCTCAGCAGGCTACTCAGTATCTGATGTGGTTTCTGATGGGGAGTTGCATGGGGAATACTCTCCTATGGCTGCTCAGTGAAGCCAACAGTGATATCTAAAACAATCCCTTTTGGCTCTGAGCCACCAGCCAGCAAGCCAGGACAAGCTCAGTCCTTAGCAAAGGCTCTCAATCCTAACTCCTGCAGCCCCAGGCCATGTGGACGTCTCTTCTCAACTGGACACGGAGTAGCACAGACTTGCAAAAGGAAACTCCTTCAATAAATGTAGCACTCAGTCCAACCCTGACACTAGCGTTAAACCTCAGCTTGAGCAGGGGAGGAAGTGCACTCCGATCCGTGCACAGCTAGGTCTGCTGGGGAGGCTGGGGATTCTGGAGCCGGACTTGCAGGTCCTTGAGGACGGTGCTTCCTTTGCTGGCGCTGTATCACCTAACCTCATGGTTTCTCTGAAGACCCAAAGGCCTAACCCCTGAAGAAAGTTGGCAGAGAGGCAAAAATGACTGTCTTAAAGAGGTCTTCAGACACATGGACAGCTCAGCAGGACCACGCATGTGTCCAGGGCCCACCGTGAGGCAGGCATCACCAACCTGGTAAGGAGGACATATCACACGGCATCTTCAGGGTGCTGGGGGCAGGCGCTGTGGCAGGAGAGGTAGTGAACAAGGGTCAAAGCTTTGCCAAGTTACCATATCCAGACCCTCTAATCCCATCATCCCACTCCTGAGAATTTATTCCAAAGAGGTAAATCTCAATAGGGAAAAAACTGGATACAAAAGGACATGTGCTCTAGCTGTCAAGTGGTTAACAAAAACATCAACTCTAGGGTCAGAGACTCATCTTACCACTTTAGGGCAAGGCTTATGCTCTCTGAGCCTCCTGTAAGATGCAGATGACAGCACCTACTTCCCAGGGTCGTTGTGAGGATTAAATGACATAATAATCCACATAAACCACCTCAGTATAATATCTGTTTAACTATAAGGGCCAGCTTTTATTACATACAAGGACATGAAGGGAATGCAGAGAAAAGAAAACAGTGAGTTATTAAGTGCTACAGAACTGAAGATTTCCACAATTGTTCTGACAATATAATTTTTTAGGTCTTAGACACATGGGGTGTGGAGCATGCCATCAATTGTTGAGGCCCGCAGCTTAGGAAGGAGGCACAGTAGAGAGGGTGTGCCTTTTTTCTCCAAGGCTTTCCCCCCTTTTCTAGATTTCACCCTTGGGAAACTCCTAAGAGGTCTCTGAGAATGCAGTAAAGGAGGGAAGACGGAAGGCACACAAGGGAAGAAATGAGGAAGGGTTTGACAATCAGAACCTCATGGGCTCTCCCGGCCCATCTGTACACAGATGATCACCCTGTTCTGATTATGACTGCATCTGAGAGTGAGCCTGCTCACTCAGGGACAACTGGAGGTGCTACCTGCCAGCATGACAAGAGAAGAAGAGATCTTGTCACCACAGGCAAGGAGTCCATTTTCTGGACTCTGATGCAGGACACAGCACGATCCCTCCCCTCCCCTTCTTCCTTGAAGCTTCTTGGCTGTAAGGAGCACACAATAGTCCATTCCCATAAAGGAAACATGTAGTAAATGATAATCAGCATCAGAAACAAAACAATTAATGGCTTGCACAGACCTTAAAGAAGTCTAATTGGTGTATACAATATTTTTTCTTTTTAAATTCATTCCATCCTTGCCAAGCATGGTGGCTCATACCTATAATCCCAGCACTTTGGGAGGCCAAGGCGGGAGATCACTTGAGCCCAGGAGCTCAAGACCAGCCTGGGCAATAATGAGACCCTGTCTCTACAAAAAATTTAAAAATTAGGCCGGGCATGGTGGCTCACACCTATAATCCTAGCACTCTGGGAGGCCAAAGTGGGTGGATTGTTTGAGCTCAGGAGCTTGAGACCAGCCTGAGCAAGAGCGAGACCCCATCTCTACTAAAAAATAGAAAGAAATTAGCTGGATGACTAAAAATATATAGAAAAAAAATTTAGCTGGAGTTCAAAACCAGCCTGAGCAAGGGCAAGACCCCATCTCTACTATAAATAGAAAGAAATTAATTGGCCAACTAATATATAGAGAAAAAATTAGCCGGGCATGGTGACACATGCCTGTAGTCTCAGCTACTCAGGAGGCTGAGGCAGAAGGATTGCTTGAGCCCAGGAGTTTGAGGTTGCTATGAGCTAGGCTGATGCCACAGTACTCACTCTAGCCTGGGCAACAAACGGAGACTCTGTCTCAAAAAAAAAAAAAAATTCTAAATGTAATACCATTATCACAAGTAATAAGGTTAAAATTTCTTAATATCAACAACTATCCAGTGTTCAAACTTCCAATTGCCTCAAAAATGTTGAAAAATGGGTAGTTTGTTTCTCAGCATTTAAAAATTCATGTTCCCAAAGCCTGAGAAGATTCTGAGCCCCCACTAATCCCCACCACAACAGTCACTAACTTAAGCTAACTTCCTCACTAGACTAGATGAGAAAACCAAAGCCCAGAGAGGTTAGGTGATTTGCCCAGGATTACGCAGCTGGCTGAAAACAGATGGCCTGACCCACACAGTCCAGCGATTTTCCTCAATATACACTGTCTGGTGGTCTCAACACTGAGGTAACCATTAGAAGCTTTCTTTTTCTTTTGAGACAGAGTCTTGCTTTGTTGCCCAGGCTAGAGTGAGTGCTGTGGCATCAGCCTAGCTCACAGCAACCTCAAACTCCTGGGCTCAAGCAATCCTGCTGCCTCAGCCTCCCGAGTAGCTGGGACTACAGGCATGCGCCACCATGCCCGGCTAATTTTTTTTTTTCTATATATTAGTTGGCCAATTATTTTCTTTCTATTTATAGTAAAGACGGGGTCTTGCTCTTGTTCAGGCTGGTTTCGAACTCGTGACCTTGAGCAATCCGCCCGCCTTAGCCTCCCAGAATGCTAGGATTACAGGCATGAGCCACCACGCTTGGCCCCATTAGAAGCTTTCTAGTCAGCAAGCTTTAATCTGGTAACATCTCCTTGCCTGTTAGAAAAGAATCACCACTAGATCCCTTCTAGTAATTACTCACCCATTTTCTAACATGAAAACTAATCTCATGTTAACCACATCAGGTATAAAGAAGGCCAGACCTTGGTCTTTACTATGTGCTTCAAGTTAGCCATGGAAAGGGAGGATTCTCAATTAATTCTACTATCTCTTCAACACTAACCAGCTCCCCAGGCCACAGCAAGACCAGGAAGACCACCTGACATAGGAGGAAGTTATCCTGTGGCAGGGATCTGTGTTCTAGTTGTGCATCAATATGACATCAGCAAAAGTGAAGACAGCTAAAAACAGGCCCAAATGGTTTTGCAGTCACTTCCACCAAACCATCAATGAACCGATCATTTCTGTATTATATAATTGTTTTAGAGTATGAGAAAAAAAATAAAACACTTCCCATCTCATTCTACAAGGATTGAATCACCACTTTTATACACCTGAGCAAGTAAAGCACAGACAAAAATTGGAAGTTGAAGAAGAAAACTAAAGGCCAATCTTACTAATAAACATAGAGACCAAAGAGCAAATATTAATAGAAGAAATAGACAAGCTTTTCCTTCAAAACACTTGGCTTCTTTTTTTCATTTTGCTTTCTTTTAGTAGAGTCTTGTTTCCTTTGTATGCACAATAAAAATAAATTAAGGGATGTGTAAAAAAGAATAGGACACATTGAAAAAGCCATTGAACCTGTAATTCAGACAGTTATTCAGACAGATATTAGAAAACCTATGAAAGTAACTGATCATTTTAACCAAAAGAAAATATTTATGCTTGTTCATCTTGTCTGATTTTAGAAGGGCAATGGACAAAATTCTAAACCCATTATTTTTATCAAGAGAAAGGAAAAAAATAAAGACGATCTTAGCAAACTACAAGAACTGACACTTCCTTGAGGATGTGCATTATCAAATAATAACATAAGGCATAGGAATAGACAGATGCAGGCTACAGAATGGGCCCAGGTGGGCACAGTAATTTAGGATGTGAGAGCAGTGGATTTCAATGGACTCATCCCTACATCACTTACTTAGTATGCAAAAGTAAGTTACAAGAGGACTAAGGAACTAAAAGAAACCCAAAAAAAAGCATTATAAGAAAACACAGAGTTTCAGTATAGGATGACAGAAAAATTCTGGAGATAGACAGTGGGGATGGTTGTACAACGACATGAATGTGCTCAATGTTCTGAACTGTGTACTTGGACATGGTTAAAATGGTAAATTGTATGTTATGCATATTTTACCACAATTAATTTTTTTTTTTTTGAAGACAGTCTTGCTCTGTCGCCCTGAATAGAGTGTAGTGGCGTCATTGTAGCTCACTGCAACCTCAAACTCCTGAGCTCAAGTAATCCTCCTGCCTCAGCCTCCTGAGTAGCTGTGTCTACAGGCATGTGCCACCACGCCCAGCTAATTTTTCTATATTTAGTAGAAACAAGGTCTCACTCTTGCTCAGGCTGGTCTTGAACTGAGCTCAAGCAATCCTCCCGCCTCAGCCTCCCAGAGTGTTAGGACTGTAAGTGTGAACCACCATGCCCGGTCCATAATTAAAATTATAGAGAAAAGATTATATTCTTGTGGTAGGACTAGCTTTCTTAAGACATAAATCCCTGGAGCCATAAAGGGAAATATTTGAAGATTTTACTACATAAAAATTTTATTCTTTTTTTTTTTTTTGAGACAGATTCTCACTCTGTTGCACGGGCTAGAGTGCTGTGGCGTCAGCCTAGCTCACAGCAACCTCAAACTCCTGGGCTCAAACAATCCTTCTGCCTCAGCCTCCCAAGTAGCTGGGACTACAGGCACACTCCGCCATGCCCAGCTAATTTTTTCCACATCTCCAGAGTGGTAGGATTACAGGCTATATAAAAATTTTAGGCCAGGCATGGTGGCTCACACCTGTAATCCTAGCACTCTGGGAGGCCGAGGTAGGAGGATCACTCGAGCTCAGGAGTTTGATATCCCGTCTCTACTAAAAAAATAGAAATAAGTTAGCTGGACAACTAAAAATATATGGAAAAAATTAGCTGGGCATGGTGGCGTGTGCCTGTAGTCCCAGCTACTCAGGAGGCTGAGGCAGAAGGATCACTTCAGCCCAGGAGTTTGAGGTTGCTGTGAGCTAGGCTGACGCCACAGCACTCTAGCCCAGGCAACAGAGTGAGACTCTCGTTTCAAAAAAAAAATTTTTTTAAATGTCTGTATGAAAAAGATCCAGAAATAAAAGTTAAAAGACATCTACTTTTGTAACTTCATCAAAATAAAATATATTGAAAGCAAAAACAACAAAAAAGTTAAAGGCACTCAATGCTTCAATAACAAGAAAAAAAAGACAAGTCACTGACTACAATAAAGTATATGCAACTTGTATAACAGATAAAGGATTAACACCTGAATATATAAAGCTGCTATAAATCAAATAAAGAATAAGACAAGCAATTCATAAAAGACTTAATCTCATAAGTAATCAGAAAAATATACATTTAAAACACACTTTCACTTTTGGGGGGTGGGGGGGAAATGGGCATTTATTGAAACCTTAAAATCTGTACCCCCATAATATGCCGAAATAAAAAAAAAAAAAGATCTTTAAAAAAATAAATAAATAAAACACACTTTCATTTTTCACCCATCAAATTGACAAAATTAAAAAATCTGATTTCTACAACAAAGATAGGAAAACAGATATTCTCATCACTGTGGCTAGACTTGTAAATTAGCAAACTTTTTGAAGGGCAATTAACAGCTAGCCAGCTATTAGATGCACATATCCTCCACTTATTGGTCTTTAGCCAAAAGAAATGCTCCCAGAGGTACAAAAAATCAACAACAAGGGTGTTCACCACAGCATTATTTACAACATCAAAAAACAAAACATAACTGTCTACCTAACAGTAAGTGTTAGTGAAATACACGTTCCCACATCCACCCAGTGAAAGACTAGCCAGCCTCTCAAGCAAAAGATAGGGTCTCTACATAACTGACAGGGAAATATGCCACAACATGGCTTATAAACAAAGGCTAGCTACAATGCAGTTCATATTCTGTGATACCATTTTTTGCCCAAAATAAATAAAATAATGTACTTTGTATAGAAACACAAATCTGGAAGAATCCATATCAAGCTATTGCTATTAACAGCGAATATCATCTGTGGGAGTAGCATCATGGGAAAATTTCACTTTCTAAATTATATTATTTCTATGTTTGAATTATTTAAAATAAGCATAATTGCTTTTATAAAGGACTAAAATAAGGACTAAAATAAAAAAATAATAACACTTCCACCCCTCTGTAAAAAGGATTAGCTATGATCCCAATGAATGTCAGGAGCCGATCTCTGTGCAGTATTTTCCCCTAAGAGGAAAGATGAAGAGACAGAAGAGCTTCTGGAATGGCTCAGAAACTGTCACCTGCCAGTAGTACCTAGCACCCCAGTTCCCAGGTGGGCTGGTGTGGTGATAAAGACAGGGCTGGGCCAGGTCTTCAGTCATGCAGCCTGCACAGCACCCTGCCAACACACACAAAGGTCTTGGCTGAACAGTGGATATTGAAGGAAAGTACACTCAAGGCTGGGCACAGTGTCTCATGCCTTATAATCCTAGCACTCTGGGAGGCTGAGACGGGAGGATCACTTTGAGGTCAGGAGTTCAAGAGCAGCCTGAGCAAGAGCGAGACCCCGTCTCTACCAAAAATAGAAAAAATTTGCAGGGCACAGTGGTGCACGTCTATAGTCCCAGCTACTTGGGAGGATGAGGCAAGAGGATGACTTTAACCCAGAAATTTGAGGTTGCAGTGAGCTATGATGATGCCACTGTACTCTAGCCAGGGTGGCAGAGTGAGAATGTCTCAAAAAATAAAAATTAAAAATACCTGGACTCAAACTTATTTTATTTTTTTGCTTAACTCCTGATCTTTGGGTGGCTCCTCAGAGAATTAGTTTAAGATTAGAAACATTTTACTTAAAAAGGTCACAATGGAAATCAGATTCAGCTCAGAGGAACTAATGGTGACTTTCTGGGTAAGAGCTATAAAAACCTAGCTGTGCCCTAAAAAGACAGCAACGAACACTAAGATCTGGGAAGGCACAGTGCTAGAAAGCCTTTAGTCAAAGAAAAAGAATATTAGCCACCTAGCCTCTACTCACAGCCTCTAAATGATGAAACCAAAAATGGGAGGGAAAAAGGATAGGAGAGGGAAGGTAAACAAAAACATTAAATACCAGGCACTGTTACACACATAAACATATTTAATCCTCACAACATCCAGGGACTATTAAAGAAGAGGAGACTCAGAGAGGTCTGTGATTTGCTCAAAGTTAAAAAGCTACAAACCCCAGAGTCCAGATTTGAATCTGTTTTGCCTACAAGGCCAGTGCATTGGTAGCTCCTCCAGTTAGCTGGTCGCTTGGCCCCAAACTTCTCATTATTGGAGCCAGTGTTCTTGATCTTTCCAGGCAGACTCACCTGTGAGCTGGAGGGCAGCACCTGGGAGGTGGGCTCCTCAGACGGGGCTGCTCCTGAGCCCATGGGGCTCAGTGTGGTGATTCTGCTCGGCTGGCCACGGAGTGTCAGAGTAATAGTGGTGGGGACCTTCAAGCCTGAGAGAGACAGAGAAGGAGTGTTTTGGGGTTACAGCCTCTACTTTCTGCTGAGGCTTTCCTTTCCTGGAGAGTTTCTTCCCCACATAACACACTCCCTCGGCCTCCTCCCCAGCTGGGCCATCTATGCCCTATCAGTCAATCTGAAAGGCAATAGGAAACAGCCTGTGTTCTCTCGACCTCTCTGGGGCATGGGGTCCACATAGCTGAATCCAGGGTCAATGTCAGGACCCTGTGTGGTTGGGTTCAACATCATACCTTGCCCATGTGAGATGGGAAGGTCCTAGGGGATGATCCCAGATTTGGGAGTCCCCACAGTTCTCATGAGAGACTCACCTGATGCTTGGTTAGAGATCTGAGCCAGGCCAGGGAGGCTGCTTGCCAACTTAGCGAGGCCCCCATTGGTCAGCAGCTGGTGGATGGCTGTGGGCTTCCCACCAGGAGTGGCACCCAAGGAGGAGAGAGTGGTGGCCACAGGAATGGTACGGACAATGGTGCTGGTGCCCGTGGTGATGGCACCCAGGCTCTGCATGGGGGTGGGCAACTTCACACTGGTGGCCTGTGGGACACACAAGCCCAGGTGATCAGAAGCTGTCGCCCAACAGCAACATTCGAGTTTGGAGGGCCCACAGCATAATATTAAAGGCTAACATGTTTTGAGTGCCTACTACATGCAAGGTACTTTTCCAGGCATTTTGTATACATTATCTTATTTAATCCATAAGACAAATCTATGAGGGAAATCCTATTATTACTTCATTTTACAGACAAGGAAACAGAGAGGTCAAGAAACTTGCCCACGGTCACAAAGTAAGTGATGGACCTTAACCTTTCGCAGCTCCTGGCTATGTATTAATAGTTAGAAGGTTGTGTGTCCTTGACCCACTTACTCCAGACCCAGTATCCCTGCCAAAACCAACTAAACTGAGAAGGCCTTGTCCCCACACCTGCCCAGCCCAGTGGATATCAGATGTGCACCTGTGGGACTGGCCCTGGGGAAGAATTTGCTGGGAGGCCAGAGCTCTTGCTGCTGATATCCTGCAAGCTGAAGCTGAGGCCTTGGAGGAGGCTGCTGGCTGATGTGGCCCCTAGGAGAGGACATAATAGGCATTGGCACAGGCTCAATCACTTGCAAGTATCCCAAGAACAGCCACACTCACCCACCTTCACTACCAACTAAAACACCAATGCTTTTGCTCTTGGACATTCCCCTGCCCTCAGAAAGATGCCAGGAAGGTCTCCGGAGGCAGGAGTGCGCATGCTGGATGCCACATGAAGAGAGGTACTATGCCAGACACTGCCTTGGATTCACTCTGCACATTCCAACCTGCTCCAAACCACCACAGTTTTGAGAAATCTAAATTCCCTTTCTTTCCAGGGAGGAAGGACTTTTTAAGCCAGAAGAATTCCAAATATCTAACTTAGGCTTCACCTTACACAGTCTGATGGCTCAAAGCAAAGAGGAAGGCCCTCTAGACGGAGAGGTGTGTCTGCAATGCCTCAGCCCTACTGGGCTCAGGCAAGTAGCCTTTCAATGTAGAGTGGGGGGTTGGATAAAATATAGGCAGGAAAATGTCTCGTGCTGCTAATGCCCAGGATAGCACCATTTTCAGTTTTATTCAGTTATATATGTGTTTAAACATCAAAATGGAACACAATACAGTTGGCCCTCTGATATCTGTGGGCTTCATATCCACAGATTCAACCCACCACACACAGAAACCTGCAGCTATGGAAACAGTAGATACAGAGGGCCAACTACACGATGCCATTTTATATAAGAGACTTGAGCATCTGTGTATTTTGGTATTGGTGGGCGGTCCTAGAACCAATCCCCTGTGGATACAGAGGAAAGACTGTACCCACATCTCCTATCAGCTATTTCCCCTTCCCTTCCCTGCAGACTGGGAGGTTTGTTCACTATAAAGTCCAAGGAATGCCCCCATTCAAGCTAGTTCCAGCTTCACATCAAGCCTCTATGACCACTCTAAGACCCAGAGGCACAGCCTTTAGCTCCAAGGATGCTTTCCTAGGATTCCCCCTCTAGCACAAGAACAAAAAGACTCTGTTGGGAGGGAAGAAAGCTGGGCCACAAGATACCTGGGAGGGAGTTACCAGGAGAGGTGGCCACCAAGCGGCTCTGGATGGTGTGCAAAGCACTGGGCGCAGTGCTGCTTGCCACCACTGAAGGGGCTGGGCTGGCTGAGACTCCACCTTCAGAAGCACTCGACCTAGAGACATAGAAAAGAGCACCATCATCCAAAGGCCAGAGGGCAGCAATACAGGGAAGGTCAAGAGTGGGGCCCAGCAAGGCTTTCAGCAGTGGACACAAGGCTAGAACCTTCAGTTTCTTTGCCCTGCCTTCCGAACCTGGCCTCTAGTCCTTCTACAAGTCAGGCCTAAAGTAAAGATCTCAGGCCTTAGAGTAAGAGCCAGGAAACACTTAAACAGACTCACCTGGCTGTGGTAAGAAGTCCTGTGAGCTCCTTGGCCGCTGCAGAAGCCTGCCCCAGTGTCATGGTGATGGGTTTCCCACCTGCCGCTGCAAGAGAGAAAACCCCAAGGCCACTGGTTAGTCCTCTCTGGCCCCTACCTTTCCAGGTTCCACAACTCAGGCTAAATGTAAGAGATTATGGACAAAAATTGGAGGATGAAAAAAGAACCACGTTAGAGTAGGGCTGGGGTTATTTTTTCTCTTCTATTTTCTAAACTTTCTGGAATATTTTATTAGCTTTAACTAAACCCCTCCCCCAAAAAAAGAACAAAATATATGATGCTTTGAATGACTCAACAGTTTCCTCTCATATTTTGCCTCACTGGTCCTCATTCAGGTGAGGGCACTGGCCACCTTGCCCATGTATGTGACCTTGTGCCTTCTTTGCTTTGGGCACCTCTCACAGGCAGAGGCTGAGCCGTGGGCTGGTAGCCACCAAGGGGGCAATGCTGTGTACCCCAGGAGAGCTCGGTCGGTCCTTATCTAAACATGCCAAGAGAAACTCACCTTCTGGAGCTCCTCCTTGGGAAGGAGCACAAGGCCCTCCAGCTGTTTCCCCTTGGGAGATAAGGGACACCTTGATCTTCGGTCGCTTGGAGGTCTTACTGCCAGGAAGAGGACTTGAGGGATGATGCCGCTTCAGCTGGACCCTAAGATCCTCTTTCTCTGCTTCCTCTGTTGGTTCCGATGAAATGGGAACTAAGAGATGAAGCTGAGGTGAGATCCTCCATGATCCAAAACAGCCCAATAGATACTGCCAGACACCAGCATGTGCACAGCCATGTGTGAGAACACATGGCAAAAACACCCCAAGTACAGGGCCACACTTCAAAGAGACCACCCATGCTTTAAGCCCACCCCCCTCAGGCCCTGCCCACAGTGAACCTAACTGTGCCTTCTCAGAACACAGCTCTATGCCCATCCCTCACCCTGCCCTGGAGTCAGAAGGGAAGGGGCCCTGAGTTGGTAGGAATAAAAAGACAAAAGTCACCCTGACCCTGCCTAGCAAAGGTTAACAACAATAACAAAAACAGAGGACTCACCACAGTAGATCTAAACAGTCCTTCTCAGACTCAAAGAATGTGATCATTTTCCTGTTTTAAGTCTTACACACATCACCACAAAGCTGAGGGCATTAAACATTCTATGAAAAACCCATGGAGGAGCAGCTCATCTAGTCCTCTCTAAAACAGAGAGTTTTTCACGAGGTTCAGAGAGTTTTTCACGAGGTTCTCCAAAGTCCCACATTGCCCTTTGTTGAAGGTCCACTTGCCAAATGGAGGCAATGACAAGGACTACCACCAGGAGTGAAAGCAGGCTTTTAGTAATTACCAGGTGAGGGAGCATCTTAGCCCAGGTAACAGGGCAACAGTGGCCCATGTCACAACCTAGTCCCCAGGTTGTTTGTACCAACACAGAGAAAAGCCATCTGTTCACATGTGGGCTTCCCCCTCTACTGAATCAAACAGACTCATCGTGCATACAGCCAAGCCTTTGGGACTCTTAAGTTATCCTTCAGGCTCCCTCATAGATTCCCCCCTCTTTAAGTCCACAAGTCCAGCCCAGCCCCTCTTTGTAGTACAGGCAAGCAGGAGCAGGGATGGGGAGGAAGGCAGCAGCCACATGAGGGTGGAGGAGCGGTCCTGACATGGGGCCACAGTCAGGGCATAGCTGGCTGGATGGACTGCTTAGGGGAGAAATGTACAGGCTAAAATCAGAGTAGGAAGATGGTGGAAGGGAAAGGAGTTACAGGATTTATGCTGATAAGCGGCTGGTGGGCTTGCAGCTGCCAGGATGAAAAACAAAAACAGACAGGGAGAAAAACACAAAAGGAAATGCAGGCTCACAGGCAATAAGCCACAGACACACAAAGGAGAAGCAGAGCCAAGAACCACACTAAGACAAAACAAGAAAAACATCATGAAAAGCAAACAGAAAGAACAGAGAAGAAGCAAAGACTACAGAGTAAGCCAAAAGAGACAGAAAAAAAAAAAAGAATCAGAAGATAGAAAAAGGCAGAAAGAAAAGAAGAGGAGGAAACCAAACTGTGACAGATGAGAAGCAGATATGGGACAGAAATAAGAGGGAGGTGGAGAAAAGCAGAATGCAGAGGACAAAGAGGCGAGAGAAAGAACAATACTCACCAAAGAGACAGGAGGAGGTGCCAGGAGGAAGAGCTTTCCTCACCAGCATATTTTGTTTCAGAAAAGCAGCAAACTGTGCTGGAATGAATCAGAAAGAATTACAGAATCATAGCCAGCCAGAGAAAGGAGAAAAGCAGAGGTATTAAGAAAAAGATGAAAAAGGTATAGAAAATGGTCAACGGAGGCTCTGTCTAAAGTTATTGCATGGGAACCTGACTCTGCCATGCAGGAGCTCTGCAGAATCACCTATAGATTGAAGATGATAATCTGGACCTGCCTCACGGGGCTGTGGCCAAGATTCAACAAACTACAGCAAGTCAGGTGCCAAGAAGAGGGCGTGGCACGTAGCAAGGCTTTATTTATGTTAGTTGCTATTGTTCCCTGCTTGCCCATCAGCTCTGCTCAAGCCAGGGTTCTAAGGCAGCTCTCACCCACTAGGTCCTGTTTCAAACGCAGTTCACCAATCAGCCTTCTAGAACTCCTTAGATTCTCAACTAACTACCCCCTACAGAAGCAGAGCAGACCACCAGCTCTGTCTTCATCAGCAGCCTAAGGGCACATTGTTCACACAGAACATGGCACTGGCCACAATTCAAGAAGATCCATGACCACAGAATCCATGCAAGCCCTAGGTGCCTGGCCTCTTTTTTTTTTTTTTTTTTTTTACCTTCATCCATTCACTCACACTTCTGCTCACAAGGGGCCTAGGTTTAAGTTCTGATCCTTTGGCTCCACTAAAACAAACACAAGGGAAGTGAGCCGATCAGCTTCCTATCCCCTCTTGCATCTCTCTGGTCAATAGCCAACTACAGCTGCTGGTTCTTCCCAGGCACTCCTATGCCCCTCAGAACCTCAGATGACACATGCTCCTAGATGCATCATCAAACACTGATGCCCAAGAGGCCATACCTCAAGCCCACCTAAGTGGATCAAAGTGGAGGCAGAGCTACTGTTCCTTCTTCCCCTATCCACTGAAACCTCCCTTTTCTGTAGCTCCTTACACAGAACTCACAGCTCTCCAAACTTTAATTTCAATCATAAAAATAATTCCCAGCCTTATCTAAAACCTATCTGCAGAGAACCCTGATAAACTTTGCTGAAGGTCTCAGTGTGCGAATCTTACCTCTTTAAGGACAAAACAAAGAAAGGGCACGATGCCAGTTGAGTTGCCCTAGAATTTGATGAGTAAAACCAACCACCCAGCATACATGATTAGTTAACTCCATACTGCAGGACTGGCTAGTGAGGCTTGGAACAAAAGACGACGTAGCTTCTCCAATTATTAGGTAGAAAAAAGTTTAGGCCAATATACATGTTCACAAAGCCTAACTTCCCCAGAACACCAAGGCAAAGCTCTAACTAGTGCCCACAAAACCCCACTAATATATAGCTCTTAGAATTCATTTTAACCTAATTTTGCCTAGACAGAAATGTAGGAAAGGGGTGCCTCTCATATTCCCCTGGAAAAATATGCAGATGCTAACACTTTTCAACCGTCACATGACATTAACTTCAGAAGACAGAACCCAAGAGGGATCACTACCAGGTGCCTATACCTTGGGCTTGTTTGTGGGTCAGCACAGCTTCTGTCCGCTGTACATGTCTCTTTAGCAGCTGAGAGCTCCCAATCTGACTGGACTTCTGGGCAGAGGTCACTGTGGTCACTTTAGTCTTGGGACTCGAGGTAGGGCTGCTGGACACACTGGAGAGATCCTGAGTAGGATGACAAAGCCAAGAGACAGCCAATGCCATAAGGATCTGACTCAGTCAGCCTGCCCTCCTGGAACTCCCCTCATAGGAACTCACAGGCCTACAGCACTGACAGGGCAGACAGACACCCCCAGGAAGCTACAGAACCAACTCTGCTGTCCTGACTCCTCAGCAAAAGTGCTCCCTCTCCCTGCTTGCTCTACCTCCGAGCCCGAGGGTGAGGCAGGCAGCTTGGCAGCTGGGGAGGCAGGTCGACTGCCCCGCTCAGGGACTTCAAAGGCCAGGTCTCTGCGGGCTGCATCACGGGGCTTCTTCTTCTTCTCAGCATCCTGGTCCCGAGGCTCCGAGCCCACGTGACCCTCAGTGCGAGTGAGCACTCCAGTGAGGAAGTCCACAATCTCATCCTAGTGTAGGGAGAGCCAAGGCCAATTAGTCCTTGTTTGGAGACCAGGAACTTCTCAGAGAGTTTCACACTACAGTCGATTCTTCCTTGGCTCTGTCATCCAGATGTGCCAGTCCTTCCCCACTCACACCAGGCCTGGCATCTGAGTAGCTATGGTTTGAGAAGACCAGAAGGTGCCTAGCTGAGGGGCGCTCTGAGGTGGGCACACTCCACCACTATTCGAATAGACCCTTCTCTCCTGATACTTCACTCATATGTTCATTCACCACTCTCCTTTTCTCCCTCTTTTCCCTTTTCTTTGCTTATGATGGAGGCCTATCAGAGGCCCCAGCGGATATGCCCTCACCCTTCAGAGCCCAAGAGGCTACTGCCAACAAGACCAAACCTAAAAAGCTATAAGAAAGGAAAACTTAGCTGAGAAAAACATACAAAACAACTGTTTACCTGAATACATCTGTCCACCATGCTCTGAGTCAACCCTTCTGATTTCTTCTTTGCTTTGCTTATTCTAAAAGATGAAAAAGAGGAAATGGTTACTTCTTAAACATTCCATGGCATCTTATGGAAATAAGGATAAATTTATTTTCTGTGTTGGTTATTTTCTAGGCCGAGAAAGGAAAACTATGTTAGCCCTCAGGCAGGTAAGATAACCTCTCTGAACCTGTTCCCACATTTGCAAAATGTGGAATAATAACACCTCATTCATGAGTTTGTAGAGATTAAGCAAAATAACATGTAAAGAAACCAAGCACGGTGCCCTGGACTGCCACTCCAGAAGTCCTATACCTATGGCTTAATAGATTAATTCTATCCAGATTGCTAAACCTCATCTAGAGGTCCCTCAACATGGTCCCAAACTCTGAGATTACTGGGTGCTGCTGAACTGAGTCAGTAGGAGAGGAGGAAAGGTGGTCATAGGTTGGTTCTAAAGGGATAAGAGAAAGTGACCAGCTGCATTCCTGTCTCTGAAATGTAGCATTAAAACCCCTGGCTTCCAAGTGGGGGTCCTGGCAAAGAAAGAACCAGGGGACCATGTGACAGGACAGAGAACAGCATTCATTATGAGCTTCCAGATTCTGACATCCCAATTTACTGATGGTTGGTTTCTGATCTTGTGTACCACCGTCATTTTATAAATGAGGACAGTGAGTCACAGAAGTTAAGCAATTTAGCCAAGCTTCTTAGCAAGGCGGTTAAGAATAACTGAGGTCTCCCAATTCTCAGTCCAGTGCTCTTCCACCATGCAAACATGTCTCAGCAGCCTTACAATCTAACTCTCAGTAACTGCATTCTAACAGCTTCCCACTCCCTCATAACTACTCAGCACACACGGTCCATTCTCCTGCAGACAGAGTGTTTGAATTACCAAGAAAAACAATGTATTTACATGAAAACATTACCTTGGGTTATCAAAAGACTGGAAACTAAACTCCTAAGAAGCTGACTCTTCTAAAACATTTCTGAGTAGGAAACTGAAAGACAGCTGGGAGCAGGTACATGCTCTAAGCTCTGTAGTTAAAACATGTAACTGAAATTAATCTCTAAGACTGAGAGTATTTAGGCCGGGCGTGGTGGCTCACGCCTGTAATCCTAGTACTCTGGGAGGCTGAGGCAGGCAGATTGTTTGAGTTCAGGAGTTCGAAACCAACCTGAGCAAGAGCGAGACCCCCTCTCTACTATAAATAGAAAGAAATTAATTGGCCAACTAATATATATAGAAAAAATTAGCTGGGCATGGTGGCGCATGCCTGCAGTCCCAGCTACTCGGAAAGCTGACGCAGCAGGATTACTTGAGCCCAGGAGTTTGAGGTTGCTGTGAGCTAGGCTGATACCACGGTACTCACTCTAGCCTGGGCAACAACGTGAGACTCTGTCTCAAAAAAAAAAAAAAAAAAAAAAAGATTGAGAGTATTTAAAAATGAGGACAAATAAATGACACAACCTCTTTTTCAGTACATTTCATGCAAATGTAACTAAAGGCCCTGTAAGCCCTAACCTTAAGAGTGGTCATCTCAATGACCCAGATTACCTTCCTAAAAATCTTTCCAAACTTTGGCTGTGTTTATCTCCAAAATACATCAAAGGATGCTTAATATAAATATCATCCATGTTCACATTGATCCTCAGTAAGGAATACAATTTTCAAAAATGGCTACCCCAGAGAAAGTATAATAAAAAGGAGTATATTTACAAAATCTCAAACTATCTTCTCCTCTCAAAATAACAATTAATTAGAAAAGGAAAAATAGTCACTTGACATGGAGAACCTGGCAGAACCTACCGTAACCATGTGATCAAGGTTATCAGCAGCAATGATAAAACAAATCTACATCGTGTATCCTCTGACAGGATACACTGAGAAGGGCACATGCCCTCCATGGCATTCCTGCCAAAAATGCATATTCTCAATGTAATCATAAGAAAATGTCAGAAACCTAAACTGAGGGGCAGTCTACAAAATAACTGGCCAACAGTCTTCAAAAATGTCAAGGTCATGAAAGATAAAGACAGACTAAGGAACTCTATCAAATTAAAGGAGACTGAGAGGACATGGCCACTAAATGCAACATGATCCTGGACCAGAAAAAAGACATTATAGACAAATCATCAAATTTGAGTCTGTAGATAATAGTATCGTATCAACATTAATTTCCTGATTTTGAGAATTTTACTTGTTATACAAGATATTATTAATAACATTTGGAAAATTCAGATGAAGGGTATATGGGAATATTTTTGTACTAGTCCTGTAACTTTTTATAAATCTGAAATTAAAGAAGCAAAAAAAAAAAAAAATTTTTTTTAAATGTCCACTTTTAACCGAACCAGATTCATCTACTTACATTGCTAACATGGTTCTCGCAGCTCTATGGAACCTACCTACCTGAGATTATCGTCAGCTCCCCCAACCACCACCAAGCTGTTCTCAGCCCGAATCTTCTCCCGGAAGTCCTCCATGGCTTCAGGGTGACACTGCAGGGAATTCTGACCAATGACAAAGAGGACTGGAGTCTTCATATCCAAGAGGGGATCATCCACATCCTAAAAGATGTACAGGTTTCAGAATCAGCTAGTTCATACTCATGAAGCACTGACCTGGAAACTGCACTCAGGAGAGTCAGCTGTGCAGCTGCAGTCTACCTCAACACCAGCTTGGAGGACGCACGCACACCCTCACTCCCGCTGCCAATGACCCAAGCAATCAGCTTCGCCTCATTCTTACCCCTCTGGGGCCATCCACGGTAAGCAGAGGAAACCCAAGGCAGACAATTGCAGTGACGTACTCCATCACTGACACCTGTAAATAACAGCACAGTTTGTCTCAAAGTCAAATGACCTCACTGCACATCAGCCTACCTAGAATCCAGAAGTGGTCCAGGCCCATCAGCCAGTCCCACCTCCTCCTCCCTTATCCTAACCTCCAGATGCATCAATCAGCCACAGAGGCAATAGTAAAAGCATGAAACCCAAAGTGGCAACTACCTAGAGAACTGGGGCCCAAGAGGACCCTAGCAGGTAGCTGAACTGTAAAATGGTAGGTTCAATACTCCTGCCCTGTCAATCTCCTCCACTAGAGCCCTCTCACTCTGTTTTTCTCCATGAATAATATAATTGAGAGAACACAAATTTTGCCATTATTGGTTAAGTGAAGAAAATTTTTCTCTACTGAATATACAGCTCCCAGACATCCCGGATTTTTACAATAGTCGCTGACTAAGTTCCGCCATCCTGGGAGCAGGGACTATGGGGGAAATGGCTTTCTTCTTCTCATGGCTCTAGATATCACACTTGACTAGACTGCATGAAAAAGAAGAATTGGGACTTTGGATATGTCAGGAATACTTACACAAACTGACAAACATACAAATGTATACAAATAAGGAAGAAAAGGTTCCTTGATGTTTTGGAAGGGAACTGATCATGAATACAACATTAAAGTCAAGAGTTATTAATTTTTGCCTGCTAGAATTACTGTTAATTTTTTAGATGGGAGAATGGTATGGTACTTGTGTTTGGAGGAAAAAAATGAATCTTTTTTTTTTTTTAAGAAATAAATGCTCTCTAAATGAATCATGTATCATTTATATAGATACATGTTCTATAAAGGAAATGCTATGACATTTGAGACTTTCTTGAAAATAATCTGGGGGATTGAAAAGTGAGCAGGGGTAAGATGAAACCAGCCCAGGTGAGAGTTGATTACTGGTAAAGCTGGGTGAGGGGCCCATGGTGTTTATTATGCTAGTTTATTACACTATACCTGTTTTTGTTTTGCTTAATATTTTCCACAATAAAGTTTAAAAAAATAAAGTTTGTCTTCTACAATTTAAAATGCAATTATATAGGTAAAGCATCTAGCACAGTGCCTGAAACACAGTAAAGGACTCAACAGCTGCTATCATTAGTAGTATTATTCTACCCCAGGACAACCTCCAGTTCCTCATGACCTCCAAATAAGACAGAAATTACTTACATGACAGGCCACCAAAGCTCCTGTGTTCCAGCCAATCAAGATTATGGGCTTGTGTGGGAAATGGCTGTGAATCTTTGTGGGAAGAGAAAGAAGACAGTAAGGTAAAAGGCCACAGATGGGCATGGAACAAGCCCAGAATGCTGGGTGTGCCACAGTGAACTGAAATAGGAGCATTCTCACCTCCAGCACTTTGCTTCTCACTGTCCCGATCATGTGCTCGAGACACTGCAGAACTCCTACCCCACTGCCATTGTTCAGCAGATGGGTGGCTACAGGGATGACCTGAAAGAAAGAAGTGGCACCCATGCCAGAAGAAGTAAGTTTCAAATCTTCTCTCAATTCTGCTTAACCTACTCTAAATAAAATCCAAATAAAAGAAGGATTAGGGGATGCTCCGCATTTAAGTCATCCATTCTGAACCCTTTCTGCAAGTTCTTCTCTTCAATCCTCCAAGACTATATTCCTGCCCAGAAGAGAGTTCCTCTTGTTCCCACACATACCTTGCCTAAGCAGGAGAGTTGAGATTGCCAAAAGCGGTGGCGGCGTGAGGTGGGAAACACGGAGCTGGAGGGGCCAGAGGAAGCGATGAGAATCAGAGGAGAGCCAGGGAGTTTGCTCTAAGGAGAAAGAATCCCACCCAAAAAACAGTGAGTAAGGCTGGACATCGTGGCTCACACCTATAATCCTAGCACTCTGGGGTTGCTTGAATCCAAGGAGTTCAAGACCAGCCTGAGCAAGAATAAGACCCCCGTCTCTACAAAAAGTAGAAAAAATTAGCCAGGCATATAGTGGCACATGCCTATAATTCCAGCTACCTGGGAGGCTAAGGCAGGAGAATCGCCTGAGCCTAAGAGTTTGAGGTTGCAGTGAGCTGTGATGATGCCACTGCACTTTAGCCACAGCAAGACTACTGTAAACAAAACAAAACAAAAAACAGTGATTGAGAGGTGTTCTTCCATGAAATCCCAAGTATTCCAACACCTTTCTCATTCCAACCAATGCTCCTTTGCTTACAAAACCATGGTGAGCACAAAACAAGTTATTAATGAAAAAGTTAAAGAAGTCATTTATCATTCTCTTGCCAAGGTTCTATGGCTTGAGTCTAAAAATTTCATGTGCCATAGTTAAGTCCTGAGCCACCCAACTTACTGGTTTATTATGAGAAAGCACACCGACAGCAGGGTCCCAGGGCCTCTTCAATAGGAGAGACAAGGCCTCAGCTCCTGCAGCCCCTGTTTTTGTGTTGGATGACACAAGCATCCGGTCAATCAAGGTCGGGATCTAGAAAGGAAAAAGAGCAGAGATGTTTCCACTGTGAACCCAAGACCTTCCCACCACCACATTCAGCCAGGAGGTCAGAGCCCCATTATGAGCCATATAGATAAACTTCAACTAAGCCTATCAAACCTTCCTCAGGAGTAAAAATACAAATAAACGGATAGCTGGAAAGCATGCTCTCACCATGAGGGAAATGGGTACAGTCCTTGGGAAAGCACTCTGGTTAGTGCTTCAATCCCTCTGGATCAAGGGATTGAATTTATTCCTATCCCTTTCCCAAACAATTCTACTTCTGAAAACCTCTAAGAAAATATATCAGACACACACACCCACATACACACAGGTGGGGAGAGTTATGCAGAGACAAATTCAGTGTCGATAATAATCAAAAAGTGAAAACTTAAATATATATATACACATACATATTTAAGTTTTCACTTTTAAGCCAGTTATCCACCTACTTGGATATTAAGCATTACTTTCAAATATTTACAAGAATGTGTAGTAATATATGGAAATAATTTTGCAAAACTGTTATAAGTAGAACAGAAAATATAAAAATTATCTCTATTAAGGAAAAAAAACTATAATATGCCAAAATGTTAATAACGATCTCTATGGAGTTATAAGTGACTTTTTCCTTTACAGATTTCTGTTTTCTCTAAATTTCCTCAATGAGCATCAGTTGATTCTAAAATTTCTTTAAAAATCTTCATTTTCTTCTAAAGTACTGCCTTCAAGCTGCGGCATGTTAAAGAAACCTGTTATTGTGTCCAAAGAAATATACTCTACTCTATCTGTATATTGTTCTATTTACTATATCCTGTTTTTTTACTATCCACCAAAAATATGACCTCACAGATGTGCAAATATAGGTTTCAGACATGCTGATGCTTACACTGAGAAGAAATATCTGTGTGAATTCCACGCTACCCACAAAAGGTCAAAGTGACCTAGGGGAAAGGAAAGATTTTTAAATGTTAGAGGTAGTTTTCAGAAAAACAAAAAGGTTTTCAGAAATTGGAGAATAAAAAGTACTATGGTTTGATGCAGGTTGTAAAACTTCAAAGATGCCAGGAGAAGATAAGCTGCTCTTAATTTAAAAAGATAGAGAATAAAAAATTTCTGCCTGAGAAATTAGAGTATTATAATTATTAGATTTTCTCAGTATAACTTGGGAAACCAATGTCTGTGCAACAATTGCTGTTACAAGGCACCAAGCTAGTAGTTCTGCAGGGGAATTTAATCCACAAGAGGTAATGAAGACAAACACACAAATAACAAAGCAGGGGAACTGATAACTGCCATGAAAGAAACAGAAACCCCATATTACTATGATTCAAACCATTCAACAGAAGAGGAGAAGTTTAGGCAATTTTCATCTAAAAATATAGCATGTGAAGTGAGACAGGCTCTTCAGAACAGGTAGGACTCCAACAGAACATGAGAGAAGAGCTTTCCAATCAGAGACACCAGCAAAAGGCAAGAATGTGTGGAGCTTATTCCAGGTACAGGTGGACTGAAGTTGAGGATTCAAGTAAGGAAGTTGGAGAACATAAAGCTAGTAACAAAGGATAAAACCAAACTGCAAGGATCTTCACCCCAACTGGCCATTCTCTGTAATTCACTATAATTCACTTGTAATTCACTATAATTATGAGCCACTCAACACTGTGAGGCAGAGTATCTCATCTGCGTTAACTTAAAAAGCTTTACCTGGCAGTAGAGTATGCCCATGAAACCAAAAAGCCTTGAAACTCGCTGTCAACACAGAATAAGTAATCAATAACTGACTTCTCTGCTTAGAGCTGGGAAGACCCATCTTCCCTCACCTGCATTCTGCATTCACTCTCAACAGCCAAGTAAGAGGCTGGGTTTACACCTTCTCTGCCCTCTTTATAATGGACATAATGGTGAAAGTAGCTGGCATAGAAGCACGATCCCATCCACCTGCACTTTTAACATTCAGTAAGCACTTTAAAACAATCCTATAATCATTTATATGCTTTGGGAAACAGCCAAAGTATTTGTTGTAAATCTAGTCCTGGGAAAATAAGAGTTTGATGGCAGAACCACTGTGGAGAGCACGGCCCAGTTTGGACAGCAGCTCGAGTCTGAGGTTCTTGCTGATTGGTGTACTTGCGAGCCTTCCACCATTCTGACTAACCTGCACTATGACCCAGCAGCATGGCCAGGCAGCAACCAACTGCACACACTTGTGGAGTCTCCCAGTGTTCTGCCACGCTCATATCTGAATGCCACCTCATTCACATGGGACACGTCCAGCCAGTAACTTAAATAGGGAAGCAGTACAAACTCTTCCTTACTAGGGAAATTACCAAGTCATGCTGGCCATGTTGAGTGAGGCAGAGCCACAAGAGAACTGGAACCCTGGTCACTACCAACACTCATACCCCTAGAGTTTTTTCACCATTGTACTTTTGCCACAGGTAGAATACTGTGGAGAACACTGTTGAAAATGCTTACAATACTCACAGGCCACCACACTCTGCCAGGGTCTTGTCTTGGTTCCCACACCCCACATGTCCACCATTTACCTCCCGGGCCCAGTGTTTCTACTGTAGAGGAGCAGTACAGAAGTCTGGGACTCTCTTCATTTACCTCTTTCTTCACTAGAAAATAAGCTCCACCAGAGCACGGAGCAGTTCAGTTCTGCTCATCCCAGTGCCTGGCACATGGTAGGCATAAAATATTAATGAATTATTACTCGAAAAAGATGTCAAGTTTCCTACCATTAATGTATTTAGTACTGAGTTTTATTTCAGCACTGTACCGGTCTTCTTTCTATCAAACTCAGCATCTTTTAACCTTAAAAACAGGTTAAAGGCCGGGCTCAGTGGCTCACGCCTGTAATCCTAGTACTCTAGGAGGCCGAGGTGGGAGGATCACTCAAGGTCAGGAGTTCGAAACCAGCCTGAGCAAGAGGGAGACCCTGTGTCTACTAAAAATAGAAAGAAATTAATTGGCCAATTAAAAAATATATAAAAAAAATTAGCCGGGCATAGTGGCGCATGCCTGTAGTCCCAGCCACTCAAGAGGCTGAAGCAGAAGGATTATTGCTTGAGCCCAGGAGTTTGAGGTTGCTATGAGCTAGGCTGACGCCATGGCACTCTAGCCCAGACAATAGAGTGAGACTCTGTCTCAAAAAAAATAAAAAATAAAAAACAGGTTAGAAACAATGAGTCTGAAAGCTGTATCTGGGAATATAGCTGGGGAAAGCTGTTGGCCAGGCAACTTATAGCAGCAAGATGGGCCTGCTTCCTGCAAACAAGAAAATAAAAACTATTAAAAAAAAAAAATCAAGAATGGAATCAATCCAAGTAGTCTGAGGCCATTTTGCACAGCAAAACACCCCAAATATTTCAAGAACCTATATAATCTTTTTTTTTTGAGACAGAGTCTTGCTTTGTTGCCCAGGCTAGAGTGAGTGGCATGGCGTCAGCCTAGCTCACAGCAACCTCAAACTCCTGGGCTCAAGCAATCCTACTGCCTCAGCCTCCTGAGTGGCTGGGACTACAGGCATGTGCCACCATGCCCGGATAATTTTTTCTATATATACTAGGCCAATTAATTTCTTTCTATTTATAGTAGAGACGGGGTCTTGCTCTTGCTTAGGCTGGTTTCAAACTCCTGACCTGGAGCAATCCACCCGCCTCGGCCTCCCAGAGTGCTAAGATTACAGGCGTTGAGCCACCGTGCCCGGCCAAGAACCTATATAATCTTTTTTTTTTTTTTGCCCAGGCTAGAGTGAGTGCCACAGCGTCAGCCTAGCTCACAGCAACCTCAAACTCCCAGGCTCAAGCAATCCTTCTGCCACAGCCTCCCGAGTAGCTGGGACTACAGGCATGAGCCACCATGCCCGGCTAATTTTTTCTATATATATTAGTTGGCCAATTAATTTCTTTCTATTTTATAGTAGAGACAGGGTCTCGCTCTTGCTCAGGCTGGTTTCGAACTCCTGACCTCGAGCAATCCGCCCGCCTCAGCCTCCCAGAGTGCTAGGATTACAGGCCTGAGCCACTGAGCCCAGCCAAGAACTTATATAATCTTTAACGGTTACTGTGGGCTTACTATGTGCTCAATTTTGTGCCAAACATTCTACATAAATTAACGAATTTAATTTTCACAAAATTGTAGATAGGTATTATTGGCCACATTTTAGAGAGGAGGAAACAGAGAAAGTAGTCCAAGTTGACACAGTTAATCAGTGACAGAGCTGAAATCAGCCAGGCAGTCTGCCTCCACAATCCATACTCCACCACACTGAGTATGGCCTGATGCAATCACTAAAGGAATGATAAACCGGAATCACCAACAAAAGTATTTTAACTTTGTGCCATACTATGTAAGTATGGAAGCAGGGAACTGTCATGACATGTTTGTAATGAATTATCAAAGTCCAAGTGTTGCTACTGAAGGCTCATCCCATGACGAGGAGAAACCGAGGCATGGCATTGCCCTGTTCTACAATTCCCCAGCACCCTGAGCTCCACAGTCTGCCTCTCACATCCTTCTCAACAAACTCCTTTCCTAGTAAACCCTTCATCTCCCCCATGGCAATCCAATTCAGTGATGACTCAAACCACAAGATGCAATGCTACAGAAGCTAAATGTGTACTCTGGTTTTTAGGCCCCATACCTCATCCTGGAGACAGCAGAGCTAAAAACATTTACCCCAGATGCAAGCATGAAATGTTACCTCATCTCCTATTTTTAACAGCACACACTTTAGCTTCGGCCATGCCCTCCAAGCTGACCAGATAATGACTTGCCCCACCGCACATCCTGAACCCACAGCAGAAGCTGGCTACTCCTAGGACAGGACAGACACAAATCACAGCCTTACCTTCCCTTTCAGCGTCTGCAAAGCATCCAGGTAGGCTGCCAGCATGGGCAGACTCAATGTCTCCACAAGGGTGGTGTGCAGCCACTGGATCAGCTTGGTGTCCCAGCTCACGCTTGCCAGAGCCTGCCGCACTCTCCTCGCACACTTGTCCACGGCAACACGGCGAAGCACTGGCTCATTACAAGCCTGAAGGATGTAAGTGGAAGTGATAAAACATGAGGACCACCTGGTTAGCAAATAGGGGGACAAGTCAGTCAGCCAGTGAGGCCTCAACTAGGAAGAGCCCACCATGGGCAGATTTCTGGTGTCTTACCCCTTCATTGGCCAAGCGGGCAAGCCGGTCAGACTGCAGGGCTTTGAGGATCTTGTTGAATAGCTTGTTCTGGGCCATTGTCCAGCCAGTCCTATAAGGGAAACTCTGAGGAATTATAGTCAAACCCTGGGGATGCTCCCCATGTATGTACACCATATAAAGAAGATTATGCCATGTTTTTTGTTCCCACTATGAAAGAGTATAACTGAAAGTAACTTAGTCTAAAGACCACTGAGCTAAAACACAAGACCTAGATTCTGGTGCCAACCCTGCCAATCAATCACCTCAGCACACATTTGTATTAATATGCAAACTATAAGCCTAGACCAGTCATGAATGAAGTCTTTTAGGCTAGCAAAGCTAATTATTTACTTAGTGGCTAAAATAATCCCATTAGTAAATAAAAAGCACAGTACCATTGCACAGACATATTTAAATTTCTTAAGTTTTTATTTCACATAAAAAGGCACATGGGGCCGGGCGCGGTGGCTCAAGCCTGTAATCCTAGCACTCTGGGAGGCCGAGACGGGCGGATTGCTCGAGGTCAGGAGTTCGAAACCACCCTGAGCAAGAGCAAGACCCCGTCTCTACTATAAATAGAAAGAAATTATTGGCAACTTAAATATATATATAAAATTAGCCGGGCGTGGTGGCGCATGCCTGTAGTCCCAGCTACTCGGGAGGCCTGAGGCAGAAGGATTGCTTGAGCCAGAGTTTGTGGTTGCTGTGAGCTAGGCTGACGCCAGGCACTCACTCTAGCCTGTGCTACAAAGCGACTCTGTCTCAAAAAAAAAAAAAAAAAAAGGCACATGGGATCAGCAAGCACTTTAATGTTTAATGTACTAAAAATCTCAGACTCAGGTAAGAGGTCTAGGCCAGGCACAGTGCCTCACGCCTGTAATCCTAGCACTTTGGCACTTTGGGAGGCCGAGGCAGGAGGATCACTCAAGCCCAGGAGTTTGAGGGTTGTAGTGAGCTATGATGGCGTCACTATACTGTATCCTGGAAGACAGAGTGAGACTCGGTCCAAAAAAAAAAAAAGGTCTATTTAAACTAACCTTAAGAATAAAAAAAGTTGTCTGGGCACGGTGGCTCATGCCTGTAATCCTAGCACTCTCGGATGCCAAGGAGGGTGGATCACTCAAGGTTAGGAGTTCAAAACCAGCCTGAGGCCGGGCGCTGTGGCTCACGCCTGTAACCTAGCTCTTGGGAGGCCGAGGTAGGCGGATTGCTCAAGGTCAGGAGTTCAAAACCAGCCTGAGCAAGAGCGAGACCCGTCTCTACTATAATAGAAGAAATTAATTGGCCACTGATATATATAAAAAAAAATTAGCCGGGCATGGTGGCACATGCCTGTAGTCCCAGCTACTCGGGAGGCTGAGGCAGAAGGATCGCTCGAGCCCAGGAGTTTGAGGTTGCTGTGAGCTAGGCTGACGCCACGGCACTCACTCTAGCCTGGACAACAAAGTGAGACTCTGTCGCAAAAAAAAAAAAAAAAAAAACCAGCCTGAGCAAGAGTGAGATCCCGTTTCTACTAAAAATAGAAAGAAATTAATTGGCCAACTAAAAATATATAGAAAAAATTAGCCAGCATGGTGGCATGTGTTTGTAGTCCCAACTACTTGGGAGGCAGAGGCAGTAGGATTGCCTGAGCCCAGGAGTTTGAGGTTGCTGCGAGCTAAGGTGACGCCACAGCACTCTAGCCCGGGCAACAAAGTGAGACTCTGTCTCAAAAAAATAAGAATAAAAAAAAAGCAAAAATAACCAATAGTGGCTATTCTCCCTACTCCTCAATATTCCCACCCCAAACTAATCTCTCTCTTTTCCATATATATTTTTGCATTTTTTTCTATATGTCACATAATTAGCAAATTTATTTTTGAACTGCCTGTTCCCTATACACTAACATGTTATGATCCCAACGTGTAACACTGGCAGTCACACATCTACCTTGCTTATAGATGGCTTTGTGTGTCCTTCTCCAACTCAGCTGTACACTCCTTGCACTTAGAAACCTATCTTACTGTTCTCATCCCTACCTCATGACACCCAGCACTGTGATATGGAGCTTACTAATGTCCCCCTCATCCCACTCCCAGCGATCTTAATTACAGTGATATTCTAAATCTGGCTAGTAGCCTTCCTAAAGATACTAAGAGAAAGGCAACAGAAGATGCTCAATTAATATTTGTTTACCTACTCTCCTTGCTATAAAAAGCTGGCGATTAAATTACTTTTTTAAGATTTAAGTGGGTGCTAGACCTAGAGACTCTACAATGAGTTCAAGATAGCATTTCACTCTGGGAGGCCGAGGCGGGCGGATTGCTCGAGGTCAGGAGTTTGAAACCAGCCTGAGCAAGAGCGAGACCCCGTCTCTACTATAAATAGAAAACGCGCATGCACTCACTCTAGCCTGGGCAACAAAGCGAGACTCTGTCTCAAAAAAAAAAAAAAAAAAAAAAAAAAAAAAAGATACGGCAT